GCGCTTCCAACAAGGACACCAACGAGATGCTGCAGCTCCTCCGTGGCCGCGGAGCTGGCAGCCAGGCCCATGATGCCGCAAAGCGTGAGTACATGTTCTCCTCCTTCCCCAACCAGTACCCACCTTCCACCTCATCCACCCCAGCTCCTGCCTCGAGCCACCTGGCAACGCTCTACGGTTCTCAGCCTGGAGCCTTCCATGACATGGGCTCAAAGCAGAAGAAGAAGGGGAAGAAGCACAGGCACGCTAACACTTCCTCCTCTGGGGGGAGTGGCTTAGTAGATCTTGCGGACCCGAGTATCCTGCAGGCGAGAATGCAGTCTCAGCAGCACCTGCAGCAACAGAGCAATGCCGGTCTCGGACAGGGACTGTTTGGTGGGCAGACGCAAGGTGGGTACAACAACCCTGGCATGATGTATGGCCAGGGATATCGGGGTTGGTGAGCTCGCCTCTTGAGGAGGTGGCGCCTGCCCCTGCCGCGGCGAGGGTCGTCGCGGTGTTTTCTTTACACTTTCACACTTAGGGAGGAGCAACACATGTTCTGTTTTTGTCACTTTATATATCACGACGGCGTCAGCGCAACAAGGGGGATGAGGATCAACGAGGGGATATTGGGTTTACGCATCCTTATTTTTGAGGAGCATCACGCAAGCGCTGGTTCCCACAGGAAGGGCCGCCTTGGCACGGCGTTATTTGCATTTTGGGGGAAGAAGGGGATCGGGTCTTACCAGGCTGTTGGGGAACATTCGGGCGCGGACTTCTGCACCGCTTGCTTCCTGGCAGACGGGACTTCGCGTCGCCAGGGGTTTCGGGTTACGTCAGGCAAGCTCTCATCGTCTTCCTCAAGGTCCCCATGTACGTTAACTGGGCCCCAGGTTCTGCACCGCCAGGGCCAAGGGGCATCGGTGAACAAAATAAAGCATCAATACACCGCTTTCTCAGCGCTATCTTGCACTTCACTCTTCCTGGAAGACGATGGCGGTAGACTTGACGTAACCTGGTTCCTCATGTATATAGTAGCGCTGGCTTGTTGTGTTGCTCCCTCCCTTGCTTCCCTTTCACCACACACGTCATCCGTCTACGCCACATCCTTTTAAGACGAAGAGGCTAACGTTGGTCTCAGCAGATGACGAACTTCCCTCTCTCGACGAGGTGAGGTCAAGCATAGATGCTCTGGTCGCCGACGAACCGATCGACGTAAACATTCGCCAGCCACCTGGCGCCTTCGAGTCGCTCGGTCGATCCGGTACCCCTTCAATCCCGCCTGGGTTTTCGTTCCCCAGCGCCCAACCTTCTCCCGCCGTCTCTCACTCGTCTCTGCCGGTTACAAGTACGGACCGTCAGACCCCTCCGGTTGCACTGCCCAAGGTCCCCGCCAAGTCGGCAGCAACGGCGTCTAGCCCGCTCATCAAGAAGGCTGTTGCGCCGTCTGTCCCCGAGGCCAAGAAGGTTGTCAAGGCTCTTGCCGTCGAGAGCGGTCTGTCCAAGGATATCGCCAAGGCCAAGCCGCAGAAGCTGCTGCAGGATGAAGACTTTCCGGCTCTTAACTCTCCCAAGCCTTCGGCAGCGACGCCAGTCACCCAGACAAAGACAGCAACGGGCAAGGCATCTGCGTCAAGCAGCAAGAAGTCGTCCGAGAAGCCTGCCGAGAAGGCCAAGGAGAAAGTAAAGGACAAGGGTAAGGAAAAGGAAAAGGAAAAGGAGAAGGAGAAGGAGAAGCCTGCGCCTGCGCCTACCCCTGCGCCCGCACCATCGCCCAAGAAGAGCGAGACTCCAAAGCCAGAGCCCAGTGTTTCCGAGAAGGCGGCAGAAAAGGCCCCGGAAAAGGTGGCCGACAAGGTCGAGAAGAAGATTGAGAAGCGCCCTGTCCCTGGTATTCTTAATATCGCCGCGGCGACCAAGGCAGCTCAAATTAGGATCGTGGAGGCGCAATCCGCAACAGATAAGGCGACTGCAGATAGAGACTCTGCGTTCCCCGCTCTCCCGACTCCCACTCCGGCCTCGGTCGCGTCTCCCCTCGCCCGGGCGGCCCCGAAAACCCTTAGATTGGTCTCCACGCCCAAGACGGAAACGCCGTCCACTCCGATCCTGACAGCTTCCGCTGTTCGTTCGGTTGCTGCTTCGTCCATTCGCCCTGAGACCCCTGCGAGCGAGTTGATTTCCGATAGTGCGAGCATCATCTCGGCTTCTTTCTCGACATCTCGCGCGAGCTCTCCCCCTCCATCCCGTATTGGCGCGGCTCCGGTGCGGTCGACAACCAAGAGTCAACAGCGCAAGCAGCGCAAGGAGGCTCTCAAGAAGGACACAGCCACCATCGCCGCGCAGCCGGCCAAGGTCGAAACTTCGGTCGAGATTGCACCCATCATCGGCCGGAAGAAGAAGCAGAAGAAGGAGAAGGAAAAGCCGAGCAGCAGCAAAACTGCCACACCCGCGGTGAGCCGCCCAGAGACCCCGTTAGCAACCCAGCCGCCTCCCATCAAGGAGGCCAAGGAAGCCACCGAGGTCAAAGAGGTCAAGGAAGAGTCCTCGGCTTATCGGTCGACAGCCAACGAGACTACCACTCTGACCGACGAGCCCCTGCTCAGGTACGGAGATGTAAAGAGCAAGCTGGGCGACAAACAGGGCTCGGACCCGTCGACACCGCGGACCCTTCCCACTCCTGCGTCCGTTCTGCACGACCTCCAGCAGGCCGGGCTCTTGTCAGCGAGCGTTGAGAGTCTTGCACTCTTTAAACCGTTGAATGTTCAGGCAGACAGATCACGCGCCGACGCCAACAACCTCATCCTCCGGGACCGGGAATCTGAGAACTTCCTCACTCCGGTCAGGCCGATTGTCACGGCGGATGACCGTGCGGCGCTCCTTGAGGGTAGGCCAGTGCGCAAGGTTGTGGACGGCACCCGCATCATGCTGACCCCGAACGGCGACTGCGTCCGCAATCTCAGCCCCGAGGAGGAAGACCGCTTTCTTGAGCTGCAGCACCTTGTCGCCCAAGCGGTCGCTAGCCCCGCCTCTTTCGCCTTCCCCCGCAAGCACGAGGGGAACTTCATGCTGATGAGCGGCCGCGCCGTGCCCACCACGCCGCCAACTTGCTTTCCCCCGCCCGGCGGCGCTGTGCCCGACCCGATCGGCAAAATTCACAAGGAGGAAGCCATCTCCTGCATCAACCAATACATGCTCCCCCGGTGGAACAACAACAGGAGCCTCTTCCTCGAGCGCACAATGGACGCCTTAACCGCCGACGCCCCAGCCTACCCACCCGCCCACCTCCCCTACGTCGAACCCCTCCTCAGCAGCTGGCCCATCAACCTGCAAAACCCCACAGTCCCGGTTACCCCATGTCTGTCCCCTCCCCTCCCACTCCCCTTTTACCCCCGCAACGATGACGACGACACCGATGCCCTCCTCACCCACCTTGGCGCCGCCCCCGGAGCTCAGCTACCCCGGCCCCGTCGGCGCCTTCGCGCCCGACAACGACCACGACGCCGACGATGACGAAGACCCCATCGAAGAAGACTACGCCGACCTCAACGCCCAAATCCCCAACGTCGAAGATGTCTTCGGCCCGGCGCCACCCACGGCCTGCCGCGCTTACCACGCCATCATGTTGCGGCCTACCAGTCCTCCTCGCCCTCCCCTCCTCCTCTTACTACCCCCTCCCCGCCGCCGCCACCCCGCTCGGCGTACCAATCCCATCCTGGCGGGGCGAATGCGGCTGGGGTGTGCCGATGCAGCTGCCGTTTCCGAATATCCCGCTGATGGCGCTCGGTGAGGCGGAGGGGTTGCTGTCGGTGGCAAGGAAGGAGACGGAGAAGTTGGAGAGGAGTCTGAATCAGGTGATGAGGAAGAATAGGAGGCTGTTGATGGCGGGGTTGGGTGGTGGGGTGCTGTGACTGTGGGTGGTGAGGGTCATTGACTAGCTTTTGATGACTCTCGCCGCAGCCGCTCGTCTTCGGTTTCGGATGCTGCTGCTTATCCTTACCCTGCTGGAAGAGGAAGTGGAAGTGGGTTTGGGTTTGGGTTGTTTAGTAGGGCTGGTGGGAGAGAGCGGACGGGCGGGAGGAGACGGGATGCTGTGGCTGCGGTGGCGGTAGCGGTTGCGTTGGCGAGGGTGTTGAGGGGGCTGAGTAGTATGGGGGGAGGCCGCGTTTGCGGCGGTGTGGATGGCTGTGTTGTTGGTGGAGAGTGTGGTTGCTATGGCGGCGAGGGGTGCGGTGGTGGCGGTTGAGGTGGTGTGTGCTGTGCTGGATTGGGTGGGGGCGGAGTATTAGGGGAAGACCGGTGGTAGAGGCAGGGTTGTTGGAGGATGGGGGTGAGCGAGGACCAGAGTTGTGGGCTGCGTTGTGTGAGGGATGCGGTTCATCAACAGTGTTGGATGTTTTATTTGTTTGACTATTGGTGTAGGGGTTTCTGGTTTTGAGGCAGGCTTTGGGCTCCGTTATGGAGAAGCCACACAGGGTGTGCTTGGGATGGGTTACAGGATGATAACCCGTCTGGCGTTGCATTTGAGGCCTCGGATCATGGCATTCAGGCACATTGCCATCATCATATTTAGCATTGTAGGACTGCGATCATTCGTTTGTAGCATAGTAGCTGTATGAAAGTAGGAGCGGAATTCATGAGAGTTGACTTGACTATCAGACTGCACGTTTGGGGAGCTGGTGGTGTCTTAGGCTTGTCGTGGATGGGGGAAGTTTATTGTATGAAGGGAAAATGGGAACTACCTTGCTGTGGCTTGCTAGTTGCCGTCTGACGAGATGGCTGAATTGATAATGCATTATTCCACCCGTTACTGGATCAAGGTGACTCTTCGGTGATCCACTAAGCTTCTAGTGTCTCTCTGTGGACCAAAAATGGAGTTCTCTTTTAGCGCATTGCCTGAGCACCGTTGGGGCCATGTGACAATTGGCAACACAGTCGGCAATGGTCAAAAGCGTAGAGTCGAAGAAAAGGAATCAAGGAGCCTGGAAAATTGAAAATGCAAAAGTTGAAGCTTCTAGTTTGGGCTCAATCGGGGATCGAACCCGAGACCTCGCACATCTTCAGCCTGTTAACAGACGGTGGGATCCACCCGAAGCACGAATCATACCACTAGACCATTGAGCCGAAGCTAGTTGGTTGAACGCCATCCTCACTAATTTAACTTATTACCTTTCAAATGCAAATTCGTCAGCATTTGGTTCTTTTGGTATTTGTGATCAATTCTCATTCTCAAGTAAAATGGCGCTCAATGAGCAGGGCTTAGTTCAAGATTATGGATCTACGGAAATGTCACAAAAAGGAATTAGGACTAGCATGAGCCGCTCGTGGTTCCCTCAATATGAACCCGGGTTTCCCAAGTTGGCAGACCCCGAATCTCGAGCTGCGGTCAAAAAGGCTCGGGGTTGGTAGACAAAATATTTATGGCTGGAACCTGCACTTTAACCTGTGTCTACCTAATTTGCTATAATTTATGGTGGTGGACATTTATGCAAAGATACGTCAGAGGTTTGTTGTACTGAGACAATGTGTGGCTGGGGATCCAGATGTGGGGTAGGCCAAACTTTTGGACCCCAACTGTATATCGTACAACGTGAGTTTCAAAACACAACAAACGCAGATTGAACCCAATGACAAATGTTTGGCTAAAGGAGGCATCGAAATCCATCTCACTAACCCCAACTATTATTATTATTATTCCTACACTGAACTGGGGTATAAACCACTGTTTTGCGGATCTGACAGTTGGACCCGCTGACGTGCAGGGGAGACAGTGGGGGGGGGTCTCGACATTGCATTTTTCGTTTTACTTTCTCACGTGCAGGCCACGTCGTATTTAGATAGGCTTGCGGGTGCTTGCTCTCTTTCTATCTCTGAAGAGGGGGGCAGGCGGGACAATCAACATTCTTTTCTGACGACGAGAACTCAGAGGAGTACACTAAGTGCAGACGGGAGAGGATGATGCTCTGACCGGAGGGATAGAGCTGATTGTTGTCAGAAGCGTGCCATGCATACGACGCCGGAGTCGCCTTGAGCCATGACTTGTTGAAGTCTTCGTTCCTCCCCCAAATTCACGACATCACCGTCACCAGACTTCGCTGACCAGAAGAAGGGTGTGGTGTGGCTGTGGATTTAGGTGCTTTGCACCAGTTCAACACCGCTGTGTCCTACGGGCATGTCGGACCCTCAGACATTTACTATACAGGAAAACCGCGCCCTTGCGGGCCGGGTGAAAAACCTATACCGATGATTAAAGGAAGAAATCAGTGAATGAGCCTGCGAAATACAAAAAGAGAAGGCCTCTTGGCCTCTGACCGGTGGGAGTCAGAATGCCTACTCCAGCTCGAGCTTCCTAGCCAAGCTGTACATCGGCAGTCATCCTGAATCCATCAGCCAGCCCAGTATCCTCCTCGTCAGCCGAGCAGTTGAAGGACTGGCACCCTGTAGAACAGAGTAAAAGTCTCGTCGCGTCCTGACTTCTGCTCTCTCCCACGTCCGAGTCAACGGTGGGGCCAAACACCACATCACCAGGTGTTCAACAGTCTCCCGCCCTTCGCCGCACTCACAGCAGGGCGTCAGCACATTTGGGATTCCCCGTTTGAACAAGAAGTCCCGAAGGCCTATATCCCCAGTTCGGACTTGAACCAACAACGAGCTCTTCGCTTTGCTCTTGGCAAGAAAATAGAGGGTGGAAGTTGGCCTCATACATATTCCAGTTCACTTCTAAAGAAGCTTTTGTCAAATATAAGGGCTTTCTTGGCCGGCTTTGGACATTGTTGAAGTTTTGGGTTTCTTGAGTCTTTCACTTGAGCTTTGAGTCCGTGACTTGCTTGAGTCGTTGACTCAAAGGCTCTTGCCTCGAGTGCCAGGAACCCTTGGGCTGGCACAGGACTTCTCCGATACCGGAGTGATGTCAGTACTGTGCGCCTATGGGAAAGGAACAATAGAGGAAGGAGCAATGCATTCCTTTTTGCGAGCTTTCACACGATGCTCAAATGGTCAATTCATGTTTTCGTTAGCGTTGCGTCCCACCCATGATCTGACAACAACCCCCTGTCTCAGCAACCAAGACACAACTTGAACAGCCACAAGGAATGACCACAGCAATAACTCAATGCTAACACTTACATCGAAGCAGAGAAATGGGCCGTCTCTCAGCAGTGCAATTTTTAGTGATTAAACAGAAGTTTCAGGAGGACAACAACGACCAATTTGCAAGCTCCAGCTCAGTTCATCTTCGCGCTGTTCCCCAATTGAGATTTCACTTCCACTCCGCGAAGTCGAAGCCAACAACCAAACGCCACAAACCGACATCAGCCCACAACCAAAACCACGAAACGAGAAACTGAAACAAAAGGGTACAGTCACTATATTCCCTATCCATCTCCCAAAACCCTCACCTCCATCCATTCTCACCTTCTTCCTGAACATCCCACACCACCCAACTCCTGCCAATTCTCACCTAGCCCATAAGCCAAATTCTACTCCGATATCGCAACATGCGACGCGGTCGGGCTGTTGGTCTAGTGGTATGATTCTCGCTTTGGGGTTTACACCCTGTCACTCACAGGATGAAGCTCAAGCATGCGAGAGGTCCCGGGTTCAATCCCCGGACAGCCCCAGATTAAAGTTGTGATTTTTAGTTTTGTTTTCATCCCATATGCTCTCTTTCTCTCATGTTTTATTTAGATGAGAAAAGCGAAGAAAGAGGGGCGGATCACCTTTTATTTTGTGATGTCAATCAAGTGTCTGTCCGTCTCTCGCAGGAGGTGGTGACGGGTTGCTGCGCCGGCTGCTTGCTTCAGGTCCGTCTTTGGGGTAAGCTCAGGTTTGACATGGTAATTGAGATTTAATTGTGTCTTCTGTCTTATCATTACGCATCTCCTCGATAACTATCGAGATCTGGCTTCGTTTGACCCGCCTGTTGCAGGTTGAAAATTGCCCATACAGTGAGTGACCCCAGCCATTACCCCTTCCTCATTCTCAGCGACCTGACTGCGTTTCCTCGCAATTCTCCTCCGTCCCTGACCATTTTCTAGCGCTTACTCCGGCCCAACACTAGAGTGCGCCGTCCCCGGCCTGCTTGAACTCCCACCTAACCTCCTCAACTTCCCTCCCTTGGTATTAAACAGACTCTTGACCTTCCTCAACCTCGACATCACATCCAGCTCCCTCTTTCTCCTCGCCTCTTCATCGTCCACCTCCTCTCCCTCCCCACCATCACCATGCCCCTCCTCCTCCTCATCCGCATCCCCTACCACGATCCTCGGCGCTACACCACCCCATCCACAGTCATCGGCCTCCTCTCAGGCGTTTCGGCGCCGCCTCCTCCCGCCCAGCAGTAGCAGCAGCCCCAGCCCCGGAGCAGGGACACTACTCTTACTCCTTCCATGACCGGCCCCCACCCCTTATTAATACTCTTCCTGGCACTCCTCGGAGTCCCTCAACCCTCTCCCTAATAAAAGCCTCATTGCTTAGCCCCAGCATAACCACCTCCCATCCCGCCAACTCCCTCCCCCTCCCCAATGGCCTCCCACCCGGGTTGCGCTGCGCAGCAGGGTTCTTCCATGGACAAAGAAGCGGTGCTCACGCAGCGGGTCGAGGTGGTCCATGGGTGCCGGAACCAGAACCTCGTTGGTGGTCGGGTCGATGGACCGCGGCTTGAACATCCAGAGGCCAAGCGCCGCAGGCAGGTGTGGCAGGAGGCGGAGTTGGGGATGGGATTGCCGAGGCGGGGGTGGGTTAGGGATTGCCAGCCGAGGAGGGCGAGGGCTAGGGCGGGCGGTTGATGGTTGGTTGTTGAGGCTCGGGTAGGGGTTGGGGTTGGTAGGGGTGGGTGTGGAAGGGGTGGTTGTGGTTGTGGTTGGGGGAGGCGGGTTGATGAAGAAGGTGGGTGGGAGGTGGGAGATGACGGTGTCGAGGTTGAGGTGGGGTAGGCGTAGGTTGAATTCGTAGGGGAGGAAGGCGGCGCGCCGCAGAGTTCGTCGTAGCGTTGGCGAAGGGTTTGGAGGGAGAGTTTCGGGTTGGGGAGGGGAGGCGGAGGAGGAATCTAGACCTGTTAGAACATGAGTAGACAGCGAACATGGGGAAAAAAACATACCATCGCACCCCTTCCTCCTCCACAAACAGTCCTCAGCATGCGACTCAATGATCAGCTCAACATACTTATCGACGACCGACTCGGCAATTTCCGACGCTATCAGCACCGCGATCTCCTTGCCGTCGACCTCCTTACGGTTGACCTTGACAACTAGCTCGCTGCGGCACAGCGTACACTTGACACGCTCCTTGCTCTCACACACCCAGCCACGCTTGGCCCATTCAATCTCGTTGACACGGTCGGGTTTGGGAGACCAGTCGGTCAGCTCCTGGAAAGTCGCTAGTCGGCGGAGCAGCTGATCACGATCGGCAGGGCAGTACTTGGGCGGCGGCGGGACGCCATCTTTCTCCACGATCGAACTAGCAGACCCTGGTGTGCCGGGCGTCCATTTGCGGAGTGTGATGTTCGAGATGGTTGTGGTCGACTGAGGCACGCTGCGGATGCTCGCGGGGGATGAGCGCATCGGGGTCGCTTGGAGGTTGTTGCTGTATTTTGTCGGCGTCGAGGTCAGCGCGTCGACGCGACGCTTCTTATTGTCGAGACTGCTGTCGCTCGTCATCGTCCTTGTTAAGTAGGGCGACGAGCGCTGCGAGGCGGGGGATGATGTGGGATCAGCGAGGCTGCGGTCGAAGTCGCTGCTGCTGCGCTCGGTCGGTCGGTTGCCGATCCCTTGGAGGAGCGCATTGAATTTGCGCTTGACAGTAGAATTCATTTTGAAATTGTCAACCTGGAAGTTGACCTAGATCATTATTTTCATCACATGTAGAGTTTCATTGTTGAGAACAAGAACCAGAACATGAGCTCAAAAGAGTATCTAAAACATTGAATGAAAATGCAAAACAAGCTAGGGGTATCTATCTGCTCACGCAACTTCTGAGTCCATCACGTGACATGTCCTCGGTCTTCACCTCCTGAACCTCCAAAACAAATACAAGGTTGAGAAACTTCAACCCTGATTCCCCTCTCCATAGAAAAGAAAGTTCGTCCTTATACTGCTCACTCAATCCTCCTCTCCCGATAGCCCACCCCCCTCACCCGCACCCTCAACGCCAACGAACTCAATACCACACTAATACTACTCAACGCCATCGCCAAACTCGCCCACACCGGATCCAGCCTCACATGCTGCCCGGCACTAACAATCGGATAAAAACACCCCGCAGCCACCGGCAGCGCCACGCAGTTATACACCACCGCCCACCCAAAATTAAACTTGATTCTCCTAAACACCACCCCCGACAAATCCAGCAAATCCACCACGCTCCGCAAATCACTCTTCACCAGCACAAAATCCGCGCTGCTAATCGCCACATCCGCGCCGGACCCGATTGCGATGCCGACGTCGGCTGTGGCGAGCGCGGGGGAATCGTTGATCCGTCGCTGGCGAGGGCGGCGGCAAGGGTCCACGGGGAGGAGGGAAAAGTGGGAGGGCAGATGGCGACGAGTGCGATGGACTTAGCTTCGGATTTCCAGCGGGCGAGGGTGGTGGCCGTGGAAGGGGGATGGGGATGGAGAGGTCAGATATGAGAAGTTCGTTGCCGACGGCGATTTCGAAGGAGGGCAAATTGGGGCTGGGGGCGCGATAGGTTGCGCGCATGCCTTTGCCGGGGACTTCTTGGAGGTTGGAGATGGTGGCGGTGAGGTTGATGTGGGCCGTGTGGGTCGCGCAGAAGGCGACGATGGCTTTGGCGATGGGGTGGGAGCTGTTTTCTTCGAGGGTTTTGAGCGCGGCGAGGACATCGCCTTTGTCTTCGGTATAGAGCTCCGAGTCGGTGATGCTCGGCTCGCCGCCCATGGTGAGTGTGCCTGTCTTGTCGAAGACCACGCAATCGATCCGGCTGGCCTTCTCGAACGCTTCGCCGCCGCCCTTGGCCAGGATACCGTGCTTTGCTGCGAGACCGCTGCCGACGAAGATGGCGGTCGGAGCAGCGAGGGCAAGCCCACAGGGGCAGGCTACCACGAAGACCGCAATGGCGAACTGCAGCGAAAAGGCCACCCAGCCGCCGGAGGCAACATCCAAATAGCTCTCCGGAATCCGACCCCCCAACCCCAGCGCCAGCCAGAGAATCCAGGTAAGCACAGCGATGAGCGTAACCACCGGCACAAAGTACGATGTCAACAGATCCGCCACCTGCTCGATCGGCGCCCTCTTCGTCTGCCCCTCTCGAACCACATTCACAATCTGATCCAGCAACGACGTCCCCGCAACTCCCGTAATCCTCACCAACACCGCCCCATCCTTATTCACCGTCCCCGAAAACACCTCCTCCCCACCCCTTCCTCACCAACCTCGACTCCCCCGTCAAACTACTCTCATCAAAACTGCTCTCCCCCTCACCACCACCCCATCCGCCGGCGGTGACGCCCCATGCACCACCCGCACCACATCCCCAAATCCAACTGATCCGCCCCACAACCAACCCCCTCCTTCCTCCCCCCTGCTTTCCCATCCTCAAATCCCTCCACCAAAACCGCCGTCGTCGGTCTCAGTTTCCCCAACATCTCCACCGCATCCCCCGTCCTTGCCTTACTCCAACTCTCAATCAACCTGCCCAACAACAAAAAAAAAGTCAGAAACACCACCGAGTCAAAATAGAAATTCGCATCCTCCACCTCCCGCGGCTTCTCCACCCCAGCCGCAATCATCTGCCCAACACTCGAAAAATACGCCACCGTCGTGCCCAGTGACATGAGGGTATTCATGCTCCCGAATTTCACAAACCGTTTCCACACCGGCACTTTACTCCCCCTGCGCCAGAGCGTCAGGATCTCCTTGATCGCGCGGCGATGGAACAGGTCCGCCGCAAAGAAGTAGACGGGAGTGGCGAGGATGAAGAGGGCGATTTGTGCCCGCGAGAGGCCCGAGGTCCAGGGAGACATGAGGTAGTGTTTTGAGGGGTTGTGGGAGGGGACGAGGGACATGTAGACGATGCCGAGGATGAAGGAGGATGCAGATGATGCCGGTGAGGATGGTGCGGGAGAGGATTTGCAGGCGGTGGCGGCGCTGGATGAGCTTGGAGCGTTCTTCGAGGGTGGGGGTGGTGGATTGTGGCGGTGAGCGTGGGGTCGCTGGCGGATATGGCGGCGAGTATGTGCCGGATAGTGAAGGACGGGGAGGAAGGGGTATAGGTGAGTTTGAGGAGGGGGTGGGTCAGGGATGGGGGTGAGGATGCTGAGGGGCGGCGGAAGCCCGCGAGGGAGTGGAGGATGCGGGAGGGGCAGTGGGGACAGTAGAGGCCGGAGATGAGGATTTCGACGGTGCGTTCTTGGGGAGACGAGGAGGATTCTGCAGAGAGTGAGGTGACGGTGTCGAGGGTGGCGTCGTAGCCGAGGTCTTCGATTGCTGAGGCGAGGTGGTCGGCGTTGTCCCGTCCTTGGAAGTCGATGCTGGCGCTGTTGGTGAGGAGGTTGACGGTGATGTCATTGACGTAGTCCTTCTTCTTGATCTCGCGGGCGATGCCGTTGGAGCAGGACGCGCACGTCATGCCGCCGATGGAAACGGTGGCCCGCCACATATCGGC